TACAGCCCATTCATCATAATTACGTCGGCTGGTTCAATACCACACCTAACCTATCGGGGTCTTTTGCCGCTCCCAATCCCGGAGCTTAGGTTCCCGTTTTCCATCACCGAACAGCAAGTCTTCACTATGGGGTCCAGTCCGTCTGTTGTTCATCACACAAGTGTGTCATGAAAATGAACTGAGAAAGCGTCTCTTTTGGTCGAAGTGAGAGATCGTACTCACTGTGGCAATGTAGAATCTGAACAAAATCTGTTGCATACTCCAATCTCCACGGGTTTGTTGTAGTAAAACCCGATGTGATTCTTCATGCTTGTCAATTAATCCCGGTCAATCATGAGAAACAACGTTGGAAGGTCACGGTCGGACTGGGTACTGTCAATCAATCGGTGAATTTTCGAGGTCAACATGTTCATCAAGTTAGTTAGCTATCATAAGCTTCATTCTTTGCAACATGACATGACCAGTAAGTACCGTGTGTGTTTAGAATTGGTTGCACTTGGAGCAGTCTTTGTACTCGAGACTGGTAATATCAGCGGGAGTCATGCACTTTGCATGCTTACAGAGAAGAACGGATTTGACGATTTATTTATTCTTCTGATTTCCTAGTTTCGTTTCCGGATAACACATGAGATACCATCCTTTTTTGATTTCATTTCCGATACCTAACATTTTGAGGGTGTGTTGATAAACGGCAATAAATGGGCAGCCAAACGAAATATATATATATATGTTTAATCCAAATGGCTATCCAGGCCAACGTTGAGTGACGCGCAACCTCAGAGGCCAAGTTCAAGCTTTCTAGAAGTTCATTCGGCTCCAACAATAGCGAATAATGATGCGGTACTGTGAATACGAAGCGTTACTATAAGGGAAGCAACACACCTCAAATCATGACGTTTCCAAAGGGTATACCTGAACCGTAAGTAAAATCAGCAATAGCTAGGAAACTGTGAGTGGGGATGAATGAAGCGTACGCATGAGTACAATTCACATGAGAGTTTGTAATCGAATGTTTGCGTGATCCGGTGAATCGACAGAGATGCTTACCCTCGGATTTTCCGGGTAATGAAACGCTCACGGATGGGTAGTCTAGTTGCCCCCATCCTGCAAAAAACGCTGAGAACCAGTCTTGGTGATTCATTGCACGCAATGCGTGCTCTCGTATTATTATTATTATGATTTATCAGTCACATTTCATTGTCTATCAATACCGTCTTCCCATCTCCATTTAGGAAGCATTCGAACGCTGTACGGTTCTACTATCACCCACAAGCAGTCGGTCTACGGACGCTTGTGTTCGAGTGTGCGGTCATATTGTGTCCGTGTTGGCCGCGGCCTCCCAGTTTGTCCAGTGTCGTCAAAATATACAAGAATTACCACAACTGGCGTGGCATGTGCTTCGACTTCTCTACTATCGCGTAAGTATGAGTTTTATAGTTTTTTCCCATTTACCTATATTTATATATAGGATCTTATTTATTTACACTCGGGTTTGTTGGTGGTGGTGGTGGTGGTGGCGTTTGTCAAGCGGCTAAGGCCTGGAGGTCGTAAGTTGAAATCCCATCGCTGCCGGCCCAATTTTCCCTACTTTGTGTGCCCTCGAAAACCTCCTCAATCTTAGAGGTTGATTGCACAGTTGTGATTAATGAAAAGAGTGTATGAATGAGCTACCTGATAAATCGTACGAATCTTTACGAATTCTCCTAAAAATGTTTACTTTGTGCGTGATATTTTCTGATCCATTTAATCAAAGAGATTTCGAATATCTTCTTCAGTTGCATCCTATCATGCAAGGCCCATTCACACATGGAACCGATTAGTCCTTATTCGCAGGTAAAGGTTTCACGTTATTCTAACCCTATTTACGCATTCGGTCCCCAGAACGGGTGCATTGGCCTGTTTGTCATTCATTACGGTTTCGATTATCCGCATTATCGCTTCATCGTAAACTGATTAACTTGATTCAAAGTGTTGTATGGCGGATTTAGGCGTTATGTTGAAATTGTGAAAATTTCAGTAGCCTCGGTGAAATTCGAACCCACGCATGGACG